AGGAAATGGAGGGGGGAGTAATAACATTCATTAAATTAAGAGTAGCATATAGGGAGGTTAAAGTGAATGAGGAATACGAGTCAGTAGTGATTGACGTAAGAACTGGAAATCAGAATATAAGATTTTTTAATTTTTATAATCCGTGTAAAAGATTAAATAAAGATCTGCTGAAAAATATTGGAGAGGGTAATTTTAACATAGTGTGGTGTGGTGATTTTAATGCTCATAGTACTTTGTGGGGAAGTGCAAATAATGTCCAAAATTGGAATGTGATAGAAGAAATATTAGATTGTAGTGACCTAGTGTGCCTAAATAACGGGAGTATAACAAGATTAGATGTAGTTAGAGGAAGTAATTCAGTGTTAGATTTAACTATTGTATCTAATAATTTAGCCAGGCAATGTGAATGGGAAGTTTTAGATCATAGTAATATGGGAAGGGATCATTATCCTATAAAATGTAGTAGGGATAGAAACTGAAGTATGCCAGGGGGTTTAAAGCTGAAGATTGGGTGGGATAAGTTCAAAGGTGTATGTGAAGGTAAAATGATAAGTACACAATTTAGTTTTGAAGATGTAGAGGATGTGAATAATAAAATAAATATGATTCTGTGTAGTTCAGCACAAGAGATAATAGGGAAAAGTAAAGGGGCAAGAATGAAAAAGGCTTATATCTATATTAAAATGTGTATAGGTAGTATTTATAAAGTTTTAGCTTTTAGTTTTGGATCTGTTTTTAGTGTTTTAATACTACAATTGATTGCTTCTGTTGTCCTCATTTGTAAGTCGCTTTGGATAAAAGCATCTAATAAATGACTAAATGAATAAACAAAAATAAATAAAGCCTTTTGTTGTTTACCGTCTTTGCAGAAAATGATCCTTTTTTTCATCAATGATCAATGTTTCAATATTTCCTACCATTTCCTTCAGTGACTTAATCCATTTCAAGGGGTTCAAACTACTTGCTTCTTCCGACATAAACTTCCCCAATACCTTAAACTCCTCCTTTCTTGTTCTCATCTGATGACAATTCTCTCTCACTTTCTGTTCCTGATGTTTGGCTCCAATCTTTCCTTCTTTTCCACTAAAGTCTACTTACTACTTTTGTTTCTTTCATTTCCCCCGCCAGCTACATCCTCCAAATCCAGATCACTTCCGGACTCTACTCCACTTCCGTCCATCTTGGCCTCAGTCACAACAACCATAGACTGTAACAACCCAGTGTCCAGAGCATCGGTTTTCTGCATGAATGCTGCGAATAACACAAAGCACGTCTAAAACGGGAAAAAGCTTTGCGATTGACTCTACAAATAGATTTGACAAGAAATTTGAGGTATATTTTTACAGACTGACGAAAGCTACAAAAAAGAGAAGCAAATGGATCTGCATTCTGCAATTCACAGAAACAAATGGACTCCAGGCAGCAAAACGTGGATTTGCAGTTATCATTTTATGTCAATGTTGAATTTCGCAGTAAAATCATACCCTATATATTGTATTGACAACTCAGCAATTAAATATTTACTATCTTATATGCATATTGGACGTTTTTAAATAAACACTGACAAAAACTATATAGGTTTTGGGGCTGAACGATAAAATATTCCTTACTATAATCTTTACTCTAAAAACTGAATTTACGTCTATATTTTGTTGCTTATTTGATGTAAACTGCACAAAGTACAGTAGTATTAATGACTCATTATACCCAGAAGGGGGCGCTGTAGCATTTTTAAGTCAAGTCAAGTCAGCTTTATTGTCAATTCTTCCACATGTACAGCACATACACACAGAGAATTGAAATTGCGTTACTCTCAGACCCTTGGTGCATACAGATAACACTACAGTAGAACATAAATACAGATAGATACAGATGAAATACAACTATACAAATAGGTAAAATGTAAAGGTCGGGAGGGAGTTCAGCTTCCTGACAGCCTGATGGATGAAGCTGTCCTTCAGTCTGCTGGTCCTGGCCTGGAGACTCCGCAGTCTCCTCCCTGATGGCAGCAGACTGAAGAAGCTGTGTGTCGGGTGGGTGGGATCACCTGCAATGCAGAGGGCTTTGCGGGTGAGACGGGTTTTGTAGATGTCCTGAAGGGAGGGGAGAGAGGCACCAACGATCTTCTCAGCTAAATAAAGGATTGAGGTTTTTTGTAACAAAATCAAGTGAGAAACGTGACAAACTATATTCAGATGAATTCGTTTAATTCATGGTTCACAATGGAGTCTTTGTTGAATGAGATATTTTTGGATGTAGAGTTCTGCATAGGCTACATACATGCAACATGTAATGTTACATGTATGCATTAAATTAATTTTCTTGTCAGATGTTTTTGTAATAAATGCAATACGTAGCTAAAGTTAAATATTAGGATGAGTATCTTAAAGATCTTTATATTGAGCTTTTTGCTATACAGATCTATTAAAAGCAGCTCCACAATAATATTTACATTTCATCAAATATGAGACAAATTCTGCTGTAACTGCAATAGTTTCATTGTGTGTGTGTGTGTGTGTGTGTGAGAGAGACAAAGCGAGAGACCTGCTTTCAGAGTTCATACAGTGTGGTCAGAGATTTATTTGATCATATATACAATATCTGATACAAGTTAACAGAGTTACCAATATTCCACATATATTATAGTCAGATAAAGTCATTAGTATTTATGAAAACCTTTCTTAAAATGCCATAATTATTAATCTACTATACTACGGGGCTTGATTTCAGATATTTCAAAGGTACTTAAAGCCTACAACAGCAAAAGAATCAAAAGCCACAAGGACACTAGCCAAGCAAATACATATACATAGTACACAATAGGATAAAAAAATATATATTTCCATGTTTTTGCCACAAAATTATGTTTTCACATACTCTCCTTCTCCCGGTTCCTCTCCCTCTCCCATACAAACTCACACACATAGAAACATATATTGTGTTTATCAAACGGACAAAATGGTTGAAACAACTGTTCGAGACCAACATCTTGTTTTTATCTTTTTTTAGACACTATTATGACATGCAAAAGACAATACATAATTTTTTTAAACAGATTTTTATACAGTCCCACCACATCTATACTAAAATATATATTACGAGATACTGTGCCTCTCATTGTCTGCATAATGCACAGGACAAGGACAATTTTTTAAGTTCATAAAACTGTCTTTAATAATCGGCTAGTACCTTGGAAATATGTGATATAGTATTTGAATGGTCAGATTATGTGCATACAATTAATAAAAGCAGATTTAAAATGAATTCGTAACCATGTTTAAATTTAACCACAATATGCTAATATCTTTATTAGCGATATCTTCAGTGAGCTTGTTGTGAAGTCTTGTTCACAATCCATCTGGATTTCTCTTTGAGCATGTGAACACTAGGGATGCCACAATTCTCATTATAATATTGAACCATTCTGTATGACATCCACACGTTTATCACGCGTCATACCGTGCTTGAATTGCCTTTTTTTGTTTTGCATTTAAATAATTTCTGTGTGTTTCATTTCTCTCCAAATTGGCTCTGTTTATGTGCACCTGTGAGTCTACGCACTGAGATAAGGAAATTCCTCCCCGCTGCATCCAATCACTATGCACTAAAGTTACCACTGTGTTTCAAATCTGTGGTGTGGGGATATTTTGGTTTTGCGGTTGAGCATAATGCCGTGGAAGAAAAACGGTTAACAAAAGAATTACTCTGTGCAAGACTTCAAGCATTGTTTTACACACCACCCTACTCTAATGGAGACACTTCCAACATGACTGCACATCTGCAGACTGCACATCCTTAAAGCCAGGATAGCAAGCAGGTAATACAGTCATCCATACCCAACTACTTCCGAGAGACACAACAAAATAACAAAGGCAGTGGGGGTGTTCATTGCCAAAGATTTGCAGCCATTTTCAGTGATTGGAGATATGGGCTTTTGCCACCTTATGAAAGCACTCAATCTGTGTTCCACCACATCTATACTAAAATATATATTACGAGATACTGTGCCTCTCATTGTCTGCATAATGTACAGGACAAGGACAGGTTTTTAAGTACGGTCTACGGTCTCATACATTTTTCAGCACTGAGGTAATTCTTGACCTCTATGAAAAGACATGCAACAGTATAATAGACAAATTGGCTAAACCACAGAAGTTCCCCCATGTAGCAAAAGTTCCACAGTGGCACCTCTGTGTTCCAGGAACCTCTGTTACAAGTGAGAGAATTTTCTCTGGAGAGAATGTTGACAGGCTTATCTTATTACAGAAAATCCTCAAAATACAGGAACAGATAGGCTAGCTGACCTGAGTGATATTGCACTTTACATTTTTAATGAAGGCTACTGTACAGGAAAGTTTAATTGAGATGGTTAATTTATGTTTACTAAAGTAGAAGTATGTTTAATTAAAATGGTCAATTTATATTTAAATGTTTATATTAATTTGTTCCCCAGTTTGTATATGGGCTCCCAGCAGCTGTGAGATGCCAGGGTTAAGAAGCACTTTTTGTTCTGGAAGTGTTCATTTATATACTGTATATATATATATATATATATAAATGGACAGCACCTGCGTTAAATATATGAGTGTCACAGCAAAGGGTCTGAATACTTAGGACCATGTGATATTTCAGTTTTTCTTTTTTAATAAATCTGCAAAAATGTCAACAATTCTGTGTTTTTCTGTCAATATGGGGTGCTGTGTGTACATTAATCAGGAAAAAAAATTAACTTTATGCAATTAGCAAATTAGCAAATGGCTGCAATATAACAAAGAGTGAAAAATGTAAGGGGGTCTGAATACTTTCCGTACCCACTGTATATATATATATATATATATATATATATATATATAAAAATGTATTTATTTTAAATTATACAATACACTAGGAATGTGTACAAGTGGATTTATTAATTAATTATTATTATTATTTGCTTTTAAGTGAATTAAAGAAAAAGAAAAAATATCTCCTCAACCTCTGTTGCCAAAGCATAGAATAACAAAAAATGTGCCAAGCCATCAGAACCGAACAAAACTGAAAACCGTGGTTAAAAAAACCGAGGTATGTATCGAACAGTGGGCTAACTGTGTAGCTGCATCCCTAGTGAACACACATCTTACAGAACGATTGCATGTTTGTCAGCAATTTTAAACAAGCTCTTTCTGAATCAATAGCCCCATTAGCTGGGATTTTCCGTTGTCGAGTCATGGTGCATTTTCTACTGAAGTCTTCGCATCAGTTACATTCAAATGGGCAAAATTAAACAATGTACAGTGTAGAGACTAAACTGAAGATGAACTGAAGACTCTTATGTTACAGTCCTTTTTGATGAAAATATAGACATACAACTATATAAATGTTCAGCTATATGAGTTTAAAATGAAATATGAAATGAGTATTTATTTGAAATTATCATTACTTACAGCAGTGACTCTAGTTTATAATGTGGAGAATCCAATAGAGCAGTAAGCAGTTCACGTCCTGATTCTCGTATTTTTTTCACATTCAGCTCCAGTACTCTCAGGTGTGAGGGGTTTGATCGCAGAGCTGAAGCCAGAGCAGTACAACCTTTTTTTGAGACATCACAATGTCTCAACCTGTAGAAAACAATGACACACTGTTTTTGGGAATAGAGATGTGCAGTACTGCTGCTGCTTCTAGTTAGCTTTGGAAGAAATAGTCAGCTAGTCAGTTAATATTGCATCCAGTTAAATGTTTTGATAACTAAACTAATTAATCTACATAGTTACTTTGTATGGAAAGTAGAATGTTAGTTACTGAAGCATTAAAAAGTGCCGTTCTCTCACAGCCTTGTCTGTGAGTGTGCTTTTTCTCACTCACGCACGCACACACGCACGCGCACAAGTACGGAGCCCCAGACCTAACATACAGGGAAAAAATATTCATATCGTGGCCACGAATTAACAATTCATTCCTACGATTTACTGTACTAATTCGTACTCTCATTTAAAGTAAATTGTGAGCACATTTGACAAATTTTTACCAAATTTGAGTGAAATCTTGGGTAAGTGTGAAATGCTATATACATATAAACTTGAGTTCCTTACCTTAATGAATACAAACTGTGAAAAATTGAATATGAGGACAGAAGAAGACTGAAAAACATGATATATTTCTGAAGCCTATGAACACACGGTGTGACCAGTAAAATTTGCTAATAAATGCTTAAATAGCCAGACCATAAAACAGAAAGCTGACATATAGTTTAATCCATGTTTATGGGCTCATATATCCCTCATTCTGCAAGAATCCAAGTATTTCCATATTCACAAAATAACATTTTGGCAGGAGACATTAATTACTTACACTGGTGTAGTTCAAAAAGCTGTATGACATTTTCTGAACGCAAAAGGAGAATTTAGGAGATACACACTTCTGAGGTAGTTTTTTTTTTAAACATTAATGTTCTAGTGTGTTTGCTTTTTGGCTTTGAATACAAACTTTGTTTCTACAGCTATTTTGTTAGTCAGCTCACAACTCTTTCTCTTCTACATTACTTCCTTAAATCTTAAAAAAAGAGATAGAGAAATTGAGTACCAGACTTGTGTGATTCTCACCTGAGTATCTCCAGTTTACAGTCAGGATTCTCGAGTCCAGATGAGAGATGCATCACACCAGAATCTTCTAGTTCATTGTCAGACAGATCCAGTTCTCTCAGGTTCGAGGGGTTTGATCTCAGAACTGAAGCCAGAGCAGCACAACCTTCATCTGTGAATCTACAATCAACCAACCTGTAGAGAACAATGACACACTCTTCACTTACTTATATCAGAACGCACAGATCAGATTGTTCCTAGGCACATAAAATAGTGTCAATACATACACATCATGGTGTGTGACATACAATGTTTGCATTTGTAGGCCTATTTAACTTTTGTACCAATCTGCACCAATTACACAAATGACATATTTTGGATTTGGAACAGTGAATTTGGCAGAAAAATGAAGAGTTTGAGGCTACGGCTGGGCGATAAAACAATAATGATAATTATCGAGATATAATTTTCCTTGCTAAAACAATAACAAGAGTTCGATAAATGTTCAATATAATGTTTATGCACCAGAAGTGGAACAAAACCGCGCTACTCATTTGAACCATGCCACATGGACCATTTATCTGCTCGGCTCAAAATAGGCCTTTATCAAACACGTTCGAAAAGCGGAAGTATCAAATAGTGGAGTAAAAAACTTCCACAGCAGCCTGAAGCAATGGCTGTGCCCATAGCACGGGATTTTTTTGATTTATGTAAAATTCAGCACAGATACGTCTTCTAAAGACACCAAACAGTTTACAATCATTAATTGAGTCTTGTTAAACCAAGGAAGATTGTTTCATGATATTCCGACTTAAAGGGGAGCAATATATGGGGGAGCATACACAATGTGTATGCGGAATACTTCAGAGTCAAATGGTCTAATTTTTCATGCACTTACTTTATGATGCAATCCTCAGTAATTATATCGAATTAAAGTTGTTCAAATAAAAGAATATTTCCAGCCCATAGGCGATTATTCAAAAATAACTAATGTCCTCCATGATTGAGTGCAATGATTGAATAGCATTATACTGTAAACAAAAATAGGAGGTTAATGCAATAATAAAATAAATAATATTAAAAATCAATTTAAATCACTCCGATTATTACTCTGAGAGTAACTTGAGCAGCGTGCTGCTATTCATTAATCTCATGACTGGCAACAGTGACAGCGGTAACAATCATGTCGATCATATGTTACACATTAAAATTAAGGATGACATATATGGTAGGGCATCAGTACAAATAAACATAAATATTGTTATAAATATTGACGTTTATTATGAAGTCCCTCTAAATTAGTTTAATTTTCTTCACAAAACTGGCATCTGTCCATTGACAATAATGCAAGTGGAAATTCCTTTACACTACTAATCAGAGTCCGATGTGATGACATGCGAACTGTGATAAAGGCCTATTCAAAAATTACTGTATTTGCAGTATTGTAAGGGATAGGTTTAGGGTTGGGGTAGGTGTACGTTAATAAAACACAATCTAAAAGTTGGCAAATTCAATTTATTGTTCGTTTTCGGCCGCACCTGTATTTATTCTAGCCACAACCTATTCAAACGGCAGCACAGTGCAAGCTTACGAGAGCAGATGTGTTTACTCGCTGATGAGTCTCGGTCACACTACACTAAACAGCTCTGTGAGATCCAGTGTGAAGAACACAAATGGTTTAAAGCCCGATGAAACAGCGCTGACAAACAGGAGAAACACTGCGCAACGATACAGTCAGAAGGCTTTTCAATTTACAAATTTACTGTAGTAACACTAACTGCACTATGGTATTGTGGCCCACATTTCTGCTACAATACCACGGTGCAGTTAGTGTTACTACAGTTACTCAGTACTACTGAGATAAGGGAACGAGCGTTGCGCTGCTTGACGCTAATGGGGAAACTCCTGTTTACTCTGTTACTTCGTTAGCTTACTTTCCTTAGCTGTTAGCTTCATTGTCCTGTACCAAAGTCTGAACCAGGCCCCTGAAACGAGGAGGCTTGTGAGTGAACTGGAGCGAGTAACCTCATTCTATGACTTTTAGAATCCAGCTTGACACACCAGGAATGGCTTTCCAAGCCAAAAGCCGGATGGTAAGCGGTTCCATTCTTACTAATGGCAGTTCGCCATGCGGGGACGTGGAACTAGCATTCGTGATTGCAAGGAGAGGAGAAATGCTCTTTTGAGTATGTGGGTCCACTATCACAGCGGTAGTTTGCTGGGGCACATGCTGATCTTGCAGGATGTGCCCGGCTAAAAACCTCCACCACTCAGAAGTATTCGAAGAGGTGGGGAATGATCACAAGTATTCTTCGAGGGAGTTCTGGCCTTGGCGAAAACTGACCCTCTCCTGTTCCTCTCAAAGTATTTCACAGTGGGAGCATCCTGCCCCTGTGTGCGCAGCTTCAGGGTGGGCATGGCCCAGATGCATTCATATCTGACGCTGTCAGTGATAATAATCCTCTTAAAAGATCAAACCGCTCGTTGCAGACGAGGGGTGCTAATCCTCACATGTATACACGCAAAGTGCTGCAGGAAGAGTGAAGCACGCGGGACCTGTACCAGCGTGCAATCACTCAAGCCTGGTAGCTCGACCCGTGAGTTTGCCGGGAGAGCGGGAGGGGCGGGGTCGTCTTCATTGAAGAAGGCGAAACGAGAGTGAAGCAGAGCAAGACACAAGCTCTCGTAGTGAGAGCGATCTATCTCAGTGAGCCCAGCCTCAGCACGGGCGTGGCCCAGGCAAGCGATGCGCTCGAATCTGAAGCTGTCAGCGATATGGAATCATTGGTGGCAGCTTTTTCCTCTGATCCGCCTAAAAAGATCAAACCGCTCTATGCAAACGAGGGAAGCTGATCTTCACATGTAAAACACACTTGCAGATCAAGGTGCCTTCTCGCCCCTGCTGGCGGGCTCAAGCACCATTGGCTTGTGCAGCTACACCAGTGATGGACAAGCTTGGCCCTTCCAGGCCACTTTCTTGCAGAGATTTGATAAATCATAAAACTCACCTGCCTGTAGCCTTCTAGTAGTCTTGAAGACAATGATTAACTGGTTCAGGTGTGTTTGATTAGGGTTGGAGCTAAACTCTGCAGGAAAGTGGCCTGGAAGGGCCAAGTTTGCCCACCCCTGAGCGACACAAACGTTAACAAATCAGGCTTCAATAACAGAGTAGACAGGGGTTTCTCCATTAGCGTCAAGCAACGCAATGGGATTTCCTGTTCGATAGGGAACTCATATGTATCAGTATATTAGATCCGTGCATTTGGTCTTAAAGGGACAGCAGGCTAATAAACCTGGTGCTGTCTGTGTCATTATTGTTAATCAAACAACAGAGAAAATCTGTTGCTGCTATTGACTGCTAGTCACTTTTGTAACTTTAATAGGAATAAATCTATATTTACACAGTGAAGACTGCAGTGTTTTTGTACATAACATACAATTTAAGTAGTGTTTCTTATTTCTAGTGCTTGAAGTTTTTCATGTAGGTCTATTTCATTTGTCTTTGTTCAATTGCTAGTAATTACTTTCTTTGTTAGCAGTCTTGTCACTGACTGTTTTACTGTCTTAGTAAGTTTGAGAGTTTATTTATTAGATTTTTTTATTAGTTTTTTCATATTGAAATTGATCATTATGAAATTTCAATGGTATCAAAACTTTTGATATCATGAAAACATTACTTAAAGCAAAAATAACTATATCGTGATATATATCATTACCATGAAATAAAATTACTCAAATCATGATTTAAGTATTTAGTAATATCGCCCACCCCTTGCTGACAGGCATGAAGGTACATGTGGTGTGAAGTTACACGCTCCCCAATGCGATCAGCTTACACTGTATGCAACGTCGAGAGACCCTCTTGAAAGGGAACGCTCACACAGTGACCTAAGCTCGTATCCGGGCAGCTCCTGGTGCTTTCTGATCCCAACTCTCCTTTCTCATCTACGCTGCTTTCTTAAATATTAAAAAAAAGAGAATTTGTCTGAGTACCAGACCATGTGTGATTCTCACCTAAGTATCTCCAATTTACAGTCAGGATTTAAGAGTCCAGAAGAGAGTAACCCCACACCAGAATCCTTTAGTTCATTGTCAGACAGATCCAGCTCTCTCAGGTGTGAGGTGTTTAATTTCAGAGCTGAAGCCAGAGCAGCACAACCTTCATCTGTGATTCCACAATTATACAACCTGTAGAGAGCAATGACACAGTTTTCACTCTTTTAGATCAGAACACACAGATCAGATCAACAAAAACTTCAAGTTACGATGAAATGGACGTAGCGATAGATCTTTTTTTCCATATTGTGATGTACATCTGAGAATGAAAATAATAAATGTTGGGTGGGCACTTGGTTTATCCATCAGCTGTTGACTGTATTTTGAGATGTGGGGGCAGATGAATGTGAGCTTGCAGGAGTGGGGTTTAAGCATACTAATGATTGGAGAAGTCCAGCATACGTCACCAAAGAGAAGTGGTATTTTCACCAGAATGTAGTATTAATATTGTTAATTGCATTTGAGATTCAATAATATCTTTTAGGGATGTCGACGATTAATCAACAGTCGATTAAATCAATTAAAGCTATTGATGGTCGATTAAGCAATTTAATTTTGGGTTACGTGCGGCTCATGCGCAAAACACGTGCAAGCGGCTGTGAGTGACGGTGACGGGGCTGGATCTTTACATCTTGGATACCCCAAGGGCATCCAAGATGTAGGTGACTTTATTCCTTCAGTAGAACACAAATTAAGATTTTTAATTTCAAACCGTTGCAGTCTGTCAATCATATAATGGAAGTGGATGGGAATCGCAGCTTTGAGAGTCAAAAAAACATACACAAACAAAACCAAATTAAGCCCTGCGGCTCGTGACGATACATTGATGTGTAAAGACACAAAATCGATCTGTCCTGAGCGCGTCCTCAACAGCCGTCGCCTGACGCGTCGTCTTCTCCATTGACACCCCTAATTGAGACTGTAGATAGAGTGTCAATGGTCCACTTGAGAGATAGGTGGCGGTAAGTCTGCGATCTGCCGTAAAGCAAGAAGAAGAAGAAGAACGCGCTCAGGACGCGCTAAGGACAGTTCGGACATTGCAGTGAAAATCATTGGTAAAAAACAATATAAATACTGTTCAGTTTCTTGCACAGACCGATCGTTTTGTGTCTTTACACATCATTGTATCGTCACGAGCCACAGGGTTTCATTTCGTTTTGTTTGTGTATGTTTTTTTGACTCTAATGGCCTTATAAAGGACAGTTAAAAAACGATATAAATACTGTTCAGTTTCTTGCACAGACCGATCGTTTTGTGTCTTTACACATCATTGTATCGTCACGAGCCACAGGGTTTCATTTCGTTTTGTTTGTGTATGTTTTTTTGACTCTCAAAGCCGTGATTCCCATTCACCTCCATTATATGACTGACAGACTGCAACGGTTTGAGTTAAAAATCTTCGTTTGTGTTCTACTGAAGAAACAAAGTCACCTACATCTTGGATGCCCTGGGGGTAAGCAGATAAACATCAAATTTTCATTTTTGGGTGAACTATCCCTTTAATCTGACTAGGAAACATGTGGGCCAAGTAGACTGGATTTTTACAAGGCTGAATTTTAGTCCCAGTCCAGCCCTGCATGTGCCATACATTAAAGTTTGAAGGTTTTCCCTAGTCACTGCCATAATATAAACAAGCACAAACAGGACATTCTTTTTTCCTTTTGTGTTCTCAAAAGATAGCCTCATGAGATTTATGCAGTGCTTTCTGATCTCATCCCCCTTTCTCTTCTACATTACTTCCTTAAATCTAAAAAAAAAAAAAAAAGAGAGAGAGAGAACTTGTCTGAGTACCAGACCATGTGTGATTCTCACCTGAGTATCTCCAGTTTACAGTGAGGATTCTCAAATCCGGAAGAGAGATGCATCACACCAGAATCTTCTAGTATATTTTCAGACAGATCCAGTTCTCTCAGATGTGAGGGGTTTGATCTCAGAGCTGAAGTCAGAGCACCACAACCTTCATCTGCGAGACCACAACCACTCAACCTGTAGAAAACAATGACACACTCTTTACTCTCTCAGATCAGAACACAGATCAGATCATTCCCAGGCATGTAACAACATAATATCAATATATACACATCACAGTGTGACATGCTGTGTTTGCATTTGTATTTGTTAAACGTTTGTACCAATCTGCACCAATTACACTAATGACATATTTTGGATTCAGAACAGTGAATTGATGATGAATTTGCAGCACTAACTTTTCATTTTTAATCACATATTTTGTTGATTATCCCACATTATCTGCTTCTGTTTCACTATAAGAGAATTTGTCAGCCTCATGGCCAGCGTTCTGGCACACAGCGACCCGAGTTCATATCCCAGAAGGACCTGGGGCTTTCTGATCCCAACCACTCATTCTCTTCTACATTACTACAAAAATATATATATGAGCTTCTACTATATACTGAGCAAAGGGTCTGAATACTTAGGACCATGTGATATTTCAGTTTTTCTTTTTTAATACATCTGCAAAAATGTCAACAATTCTGTGTTTTTCTGTCAATATGGGGTGCTGTGTGTACATTAATGAGGAAAAAAATTAACTTAAATGATTTTAGCAAATGGCTGCAATATAACAAAGAGTGAAAAATTTAAGGGGGTCTGAATACTTTCCGTACCCACTGTATCTTTAAAAAAAAAAAAGAGAATTTGTCTGAGCGTGTGATTCTCACCTGAGTATCTCTAATTTACAGTCAGGATTCTCGAGTCCAGAAGAGAGACTCATCACACCAGAATCTCCTAGTTTATTGCCAGACAGATCCAGTTCTCTCAGGTGTGAGGAGTTTGATCTCAGAGCTGAAGCCAGAGCAGCACAACCTTCATCTGTGACACCACAATCACTCAACCTGTAGAGAACAATAATCACTCTTCACTCTCTTAGATCAGAACACACAGATTAGATCAACAAAAACTACAAGTAATCGTGATTAAATGGAAGTAGTGAGAGATCTCTTTATTTTTATATATAGAAGGTCCAGTTACAACATTCTGATTAAACATTACTTAGTGAAAAAAAAATGTAATTTCTCATGCATACATCAGTATGTATGTGTTTTTAATCACACTGTGGATTGGTTGGCTCAGGATCATATTTACATTTTCATCTGTGATGCAAACTTTGATTAGCATGAGGAAAAATGTATGAATATTGTGCTTTTAGTTAGTCAGTTAGACTGTACTCTCAAAAGTACCTCCTAAGGTACTAATATGCATAAGGTACAAAGAAATATGATTTGCAGAGGTGCAACGAGTACCTGAAACCCATACTTTAGTAAAAGAACAGATACTTTACAGTGAAAATTACTCCATTACACATTACAAGTCACCAATTCCAAAACAACTTGAGTAAAAGTCTTAGAGTATCTGATTTTACCAGTACTAAAGTATTTTACTTGTACTAAATATAGGCTCAAAGAAGCACTAGTCAAAGAGACATGCCAGTGAAAAACTGTAACGTTGTGGAGAAGGGAAAACAGGCAGAGGCTAGGATCTATGTGAAGGTATTTAATGGAAAAACTAGAATGAACAATAAGCTAAAAACCAAAGAGAACAAAGAACAGAATGATGGGCAAACAGACAACCATTACATTCAACAACTCACAAGGAACTAAATAAACAGTAGGGCAATATATACACAGGGTAACAAGATAACAAGAAACACCTGGGGAGACTAATCAGGGACAACCAACGGACTATAAACTGACTACAAACACCACAGAAGACAGGAAGTGACATAAAAGTCCAAAACAAGGCAAAGAGTACATGTAACAAAAACAAGAAAGAATTGATTTGTGAGGAGAGCAATCATGTTTATTTTCTAAAACCAAAATAAAACACCTACATTTTGTGCACCTAAAATATTTTTTTTAATTTTTTTATTCTCTTCAGAATAGAAAAATAGGATAGATAAAATAATGTTCAGGATAGATAAAATAATGTTAAGTAAAATTAAAAAGTTTCGGCCTCATTGTCGGCTGCAGTCATGTCCTCATCTCCCACCTGTGATTCACAACAGCTTGCTATGGAACTCACATTCACGTAAAGTAGCCTTGTTGAAAAGTTTAGGTGAGTAAGGGCAAAAGGGCAAAAAAAAAAGAAAAAGATATAGTGCTTTCGGTGCCCTGTAGTAGGCAAAATCACTTTTTTTGGAGCAGAAATAAACTACTGCAGAAAAAGCTAGGTGCCATGCATAAAGTAATGTGTAACTGCAACACTCATTTCAAATGTAGTGGAGTAAAGAGTACAGATACTCAAATACTGAAGCCTTCTTTGCTTAAACACCATTGCATCGCAACGGCCAATGGTGCTCGAGCGTGCAAAAAGGGGGCTGGAAAGAGCCATATATAAGCGGCGCCGAGTGGCATTTCATCAGAATCTTTTGACTGACTAAGAGAGCTTATGAAGTGTGCGTAAAACGGCATGAACGCAACGTCTCATTCCCTTCTCTGGGAACCGAGGTTACGTCAGCAACCGGAGACATTCCCTTTCGAGAGGGTCTCTCGACGTTGCATACAGCGTAAGCTGATCGCATTGGGGAACGTGTACCTTCACACCATGTTACTGTGAGGGGCACTCAGCATAAGCAGAGACATCAAATAAACACAGTGTGGTACAGCCAGGGGTGTAAATTTGTAAAAATATCATTACAAACTACTCTGTGTATTGTAATTAATATAATAACATACACTTAAAATATTTGTGTTAGTAGTAAAAAAACTAAGTGTTTTAAGTTTAGAAAGTTTTGAGTCCCCCCTTCCCTTGCCTCACAGTGGTTTGGTCCACTGCCTGCTTAACCCCCTTTACCTCACAGACCAGTGTTGCCAAGTCCATGGTTTTCCCACGGAATTGGGCTACTTTAACACTGTTTCCACGGGTTGTTTTTCATGTCCGTGGGTTTAAGCGACGTATGTTTATCTACGACAAAAACGCAAACAGCGTCACTGCCAAAGCTGAGAGGAGAACGATCACATGAGCTCTACCATCTTCTTTCCTATTGGCTGTCGCTCTTCATTTGCATAAAGTTGAAGGATTCTCAACTTTGTCGCATTGCTGAGCACACCCATCTGGTCGCCAAAGGTCACTGTCGCTCGTGTCGCCGGAAATCGCCAGCTCTCTATTGAAATAAATGGGATCGTATCACTTTGTTGTTGCGTGTCGCTTGTAGTGTGAACAGGGCTTAACACGGCGATAAGCCTGTGTGTGAACCAGTGGTGGCTGGTGCTAAAAATTTTGAGAAGGGTATAACTGCAGCCCGGAGATCTCCAAATGGGGGCGGGAGCTCCAAAATAGGGCGTGGTTTCCTCCCATTGACAGACAGGCACATGACACGCATGCGCAATTTTTTCCCCCAATCCACTTCAGTGCAAACTCCGCCCCACAGCTGATTCTAAAGTTTGTATTGGTTGTGTCAATTAAAGTGTTGATTTCCTACACTATGCTACAAACAATGCTAACCCCTAAACCTACCCCACACCTGACCCTAACCTTAACCAGTGAAATTGACTGCACTGCGGGATTGGCGCTGAATAGCTGGTAAAGAAAGTTGCAGTTCAGCAGATAAAGAGTTAATAAGATTATGCGATATGAGATCGTTCCGTAACTCCCCAACCGAACCTCACCGGAAAATGGCACCTTTTTAGTTACACCCAGCGTCACTACCCCCTCCTACCCTGCGAATTTCGTGCCCGGGGATGCCCCTGTTGTTTAGAACAAAGCGATAGAGTGAAATCGTTCCCCTGCACTGCGCCGGGACGGCTCGCGGGAGAGCTCGTGCGTGATTCCCGTTTATATCATTAAGTAGAGGTTCAAACGCCAGTCCGAACACCACTGGCCATGAGCTTTGGGCTCTACTCTCACGGAGAATATTTATTTATATAGCCTATTTTATTTTAGATCAACTAGAAACAATGTTTAATTTAGAAAGTTTTATTTTGAAATGTAAGTCAATAACAATTGGCCGAAGCCAGAGCCAATGGTGAAAGTCTTTGTGCGAGGAGACCCCGCCCCATTTTGGAGGTTCTGCCCACTTTTGGAGTTCACGCCCCATTTTGGAGATCTCCGGTCTACACTTATACCAACTTGAAATTTTTGGGAGGGCGCAAACAAACAGAATCACACTGTTAATGCAGGCAGCAGGACTGAATGCAATTGTTAAATAACCATTTAAAAAGTGACATAATAATGTATAATTTTTTTTATATCATTACTGCTAAGCTAAAAAATTTAAGTTGAAAATTCAACTGTAAAGCATGAAATAAGATACCACGAACCAGTAAATTTAAGTTTAATGAGGGTGTATTATCAGTAAAGTAATCATTAAATGTGTAATCATTCAAATAATATATCAGCCATTTATATTAATGTGATTCAGAGATGAAGGCCATAATACTAATGTTGTCCACACGAGAGAGCCACAGGATATCAACTCCTTTAAGATCTCAGTTTAAAGACTGAAAAATAAATTAACTTGTGAAAAAAAATGCATATAAATTAATTATATTTTCATAGTTTAAAACCCAATAGTATGCAAAACTGCAATCTCCTAAATACTTACAGACCATGATTTATTTTTTTTATCTTAATCTGAATGGTATTGACAACATATTTTTCAAGTTGTCAGACATGACGGAATGTATGTCCAATTGAAGAGACACTATATTATTTATATATTTTATATACAACAACAATATTCCCATAAAGACTCATATTTTACTTGAAAAGAGAGATGTCCATTAGATAACTATATCACACAAGCCATGGAGCTTGGATCGCGATGATCGCCTCAAGTTTTAGTTACCATCTGTGTCGTTGTTCACAATGCTTATTTAACTTATTTTTAACATGTTGAAGTAGGCTTCTTCCCTGGTTAAGTTGGAGGGGCGGCGACTTTGAGATTTGTAAATTTGAAGATCTTTTTTATGCCCAAACATACACAACACACTGACTAAAATTCAAAAAGTGAAAACGCATAATAGGACCCCTTTAAGATAGAAGTGGTGACTCAGTGCTCATTACTATCGGAAGCTAGCCGTGCTACTGGGATGAGTAGAGACGTCATGCCCATTCAAAGTGAGGGGGCATTGAACCAAGTGCATTTTGAATGCAGCTTACAAAAGACAAAAAATAGCCAAATAATATTTTTTATATTTGATACAATCACACAGGTATGATTAGATCGTTCAGTGCGGCACAGCATCAGCTGCTAAATTCAAATCTGTTTGCGCTGAGCCAGAAACAGACGCATTTGTGCTGCATTATAACCAATCACACACGATTCTGTTGAGCTTATGAATGCAATGGCCCAGGGGAGTAGCCATCATTTCAGAAGTGAGGGGGACAGAAAGGTTATATATTATATATTTATATATATATATATATATAAAACATTTCTGTAATCTGTATAACAAACCAGTCAACAGTTTTTGATCAGTAAGATTTTTTATGTTTTATGCCCCCAATTGACCCGCTGCCACTGGTGTGAACTGAAATTAGGCTAATATTGTAGATCTACCGATGTGTTGGGTTTTGCTCAATTGATGTTAAGTGGCAGATGTGGGCTTGCTGCGGTTGAATATCTAAATAAGAGATGTCCTCAATCCCAGACAAAACCTAAAATACTATGTGAAGGATGCAAAATAATAAAAAAAATTATAATATGACGGCATGTTGAACCTATGAACCTAACTCATATTTAAACACGTTCTCCATGCTATGTAAATATGCAGTGTACACTTATTTATCCTTACAATTACAATTTTGTCTGTATTATTTGTGTCCCCTTCAAAAATTGCTCTTGAGAAATTTTGTGTTTATTGTTTATTGCCCCGAGTGGGGGTAATTGACAGAC